CTTTCGGCGAGCACGCTTTGCAGCAGCTGCCGCGTGAGCGCGACGGCTTCGGCGACCAGGTCCTCGAGCTGCGCGGCTTCGAGTTTCGCGGGCAAGTTCTGGTAGATGTGGCTGTAAAAGTCGAGGTAAATCAAGTTGCCCGTAGCCATCTTCTTCGCAATCTCCGCGCAGGTGGAGTGGATGTGCGAAGTCTGACAGAGGTACTTCACGAAGAAGATCGGCGCGGCGAAGAGCGTTTTGCGGATGCCGAAGGCGACGAGCAGCTCTGCGAGCGGCGCGTCAAGCTGCGCAGCGGCGTGCTCGGGCGGCAGACTCAGCTCGCGCTCGAGCAGGTTCGTGACGTGCGCCAGAAAGAACTCGTGCACGTCGCGCACGCGTTGCTGCGTGGCGGCGCTGAGCGCGGCGAACGCGGAGTCGGGCGTTGCGCCGCGCGTCAGCGCGCTGATGGCGCGTTTGAAGATCACCTCGTTCATGTTCTGGAAGCCGAGAAATGCGCGCGCCTCAGGCACCTGCAGCTTCTGCGAGAGCGCGCAGGAGAAGAGCAGCTCGTCTTGCAGGCGCGCGTCCGCGCGCTTCGCGAGCGCGGGCGAGCCGCAGAGCGCCGCCTGGACCAGCAGCAGCGACTGCGGCAGCGCGCTGATGCGGTTGCCGAGCAGAAACGAGCCGGGCGTCCAGAACACGCCTTCGAGGCGCTTGTACAGGTCCTGCGGCGGCGCCGCGGAGACTTACGTGGATGGCGGGGAACTCGATGGGGAACATCACCCAGCGCAGCGGGTTTTCGCAGCAGAGCAGAAACTCCGCCTCGCCGTCCAGGAACGCTTTGCGGTCGAGCGGCATCTCGAATTAAAAGTTTCGCCGAAAATAGCGATTTACGCGGCAGAATTTACGCGAGAACCTTGGTGATCTTGCCGATCGCGACGGTCTTCGCCTCGTCGCGGATCGTGAAGCGGCCCAAAATCGGCGTTTCCACGAACGGCTCGAGCGGCTGCGGCGCGTCGAGCCGCAGCACGGCCTTGACAATCATGCCGACCTTCGCGAACTTCGGCTTCTTCGTGACGGCCTTCGACGCCTTGCTGAGCGTCTCGAGCAGCAGCTCGATCTCGCACTCGACGACCGCGGTGTGGATGTGGAAGATCGCGCGGTAGCCCGCGGTGAACAGCGGTTTGTGCTCGAGCGCGTCGACGAGGAAGAACTGCACCACCACGCGGTCGGAGACGGGCACGGGGTGTTCGAGCCCGCAGAGCACCTGCCCGCGCGAGACGCGCGAGTCGTCGGCGCCCGATACTTTGAGCTCGACGTGCTCGCCGGGCTTGCCGTGCGTGAACTCTTCGCCGTCGATGACCACCGCGTTGACCTTCACAGGCACGTTGCCGGGCATCAGCAGCGCGGACTGCCCGCTAACCACCGTGCCGGCGACGACCTTGCCGACGAGCATCAGCGAGCCGCCGCGGTAGCCGCCGGACAGCGTGACGCGCAGCGGCGCGCTGGGGTTGCGTGCGGGCAGCGGCAGCGAGCTGAGCAGCTCGAACAGCGTGGGCTTGTCTTTGCACCACTCCGCCGCGGGCGAGTAGTTCGGGTTGCTCTTGACGCCCGGGTTAAGCTTGATGTTGTCGCCGGAGAGCCCGGTGATTGGCAAGAAAAACACGTCGGTTTTCACGTTGTAGCCGTTCGAGCGCAGAAAGCTCGTGAGCTTCTGCACGATCGCCTCGTAGCGCTCTTCGCTCCAAGCCACCGACGGCTCGTCCATCTTGTTCACCGCGACGATCAGCGAGTTCACGCCGAGCGTCTTCGCCAGCAGCGCGTGCTCTTGCGTCTGCCCGCCGTTCTCGAAGCCCGCTTCGAACTCGCCGCGCCGCGCACTCACGATCAGAATGCCGACGTCCGCCTGCGCGGCGCCGCCGACCATTTCGGGCACGAAAGACTTGTGGCCCGGCGCGTCGAGGATCGCGAAGCGGCGATCCCCGATGTCGAACTTCGCCTGTCCGACCTCGGTGGTCTTGCCTTTCTCGCGCTCTTCTTCGTTAATGTCCATGATGTACGCATAGTACCAGCTGCTGCGGTTGTTTTCGATCGCTTCCTTCTCGTACTTCTCGAGAGAGCGCTGGTCGACCTGGCCGGTTTCGACGAGAATGTATCCGCACGTCGTGCTCTTGCCCGCGTCCACGTGGCCCATGAAGATCAGCGTAATGAGCGGCCGCGGGTCAGGGAGTTTGAAAGACTTGGCGACCAAACTGCAACGTCGCGCACGGGCCACAGCCCAACACGTACCTTTCGAGCGTTGCGCTGTCCACGGCGTCGAGCGGCTCGCAAGTCTGCTTGCGCGGAACTTGCGCCATTTTCTGAAAAAACAATAAATCTCTCGATAAACGCGATGCCCGCGGCGAAATGCGCTTGATCGGGCTCGCGCTCGCGCTCGCGGCGCGCCGCAGCTGCGCCGCGCAGTGGTTCTTTTTGCAAGACGCGTGCGGGCCGGTCGAGCACGACGCGATCTTTCGCGACACCGTGATTGCCGCGGTTGCACTGTAAGTGCTTGCGCCGCGAGAGCAGATACTCGAAGCCGGCGGCGGCGATCAGCGACGAGGCGGCGCTGGTGCTGCTGAAGCCCGACGAGCTCGTGTTGTTCAACGGCGCGAGCCAAAAGCGCTTGCCGATCCTCGGCGCGGACGCGCTGCCGCAGGCGCACAAGGAGAAGTGCATGGTGTACGAAGCCGCGGCGGAGGGAGACCAGTTTAAGCTCTGCTTTCTGTGCCGCGCGCACCGCGACGTCGTGCTGCTCGAGCTGCTGCGCCGCTGGCTCGCGAAAGAAACCGCGTTCCCGCTGCAGTTTGTGCTGGACGCGGCAGAAATGCGCGCGAAGTTTCGGCAGCAACGTTCGGGCGTTAGCGCCGCCGCGGACGCGCAGCGCGCGGCGCAGGCCGTCGAGAAAAACGCCGAGCTGCGGGAAAGCGACCCGGAGCTCGACGCGTTTGCGCACGACGCGCCGGAGGCGCCGCCGAAGCAGCAGGCGGTTGCGCTTCATTTGCTTTACACGGGCGCGGATGATACGCCCGAGGTGACCGTCGGCAAGGCGAAGCTCAGTCCCACGTTCTTTCCGCTCGCCAAGCAGCGGCTCGACGTCCGCAAACACGCAGAGGCGCGGCGCTTCGAAGACATTGACGTCGAAGCGCTCGACGCGGCGCTGCAGCAGCACGAAGAGCAGCAGTGGCTTCTCGAGCGACACAACTTCGACGCGCTGCACGCTGATGAGCTCGCCGCGCAGAGCAGCGCGCTCGTCGACGGCGCGCTAGAGGCCGCAAACGAGCTGCGACCCATGTTGCCACTGCCCGCGGAACTCACGTGGAAGTACAAAAGTAAGTGCTCGCGGCTACGACGCAGACATGGTGAACGGCGTCTCCGAGGCGCCGCAAGTGGGCGACGCACAACCGAATATTAATTAATTTCGCACCGCCCCGCAGCCATTAGAAGCAAGCCATTTGAAACTCCGGCCTACTTGCCGCCTTCGCGGTCCGTTCTGCAAGCGGAAAATTGCAGAGTCGAGCTAACGAAGGCCGAGGAAGACCTTTTTCTGCCGTACGTGGTGCTCGTGCCGCACCGAGTCATGAAGGGCGGAGCCGAGTACACAGACGACTTTCTCTTCAACCGTTTCGGACGCTTTATGCAGCGCTCTGAGCTCCACGACAAAGAGTACACGCGCGTGTTCTCCGCGCTCTCCTACTACGCCAGCCTGTTGACTGTTTCCGTGATGTTCAGCGCGGACCTGCTAAAACTGCTGGTTGCGCAGCTGCGCGGACGCGCAGGCCGCGGCGCGGCCCGCCCCGAGGCCTAGCGCGTGCGTTTCGCAGTGCTGCAACGGCTAAGCGCGTTTCGGCGTCCTCGCGTAATTTCCATGGTTGTGCTGCGCGCTTTGGCTGCCGCGCTGTTCACCGCGGCTCGCTGTCGCGCAGGTCTGCTTCCCCAGCTTGGCTCGATAGGGCAGCAGATAATAGACGCAGGCCGCAAATACATTCCAGAAATCTTTGAAGCGGTGGAGAACAAAAAGTTTAACGCGACGGTCATGGACTTTCAGCACCAAAAGGACCTCGCCGCGCACGTTAACGAGTATCACGTCAACGCAATGAACGAGCTGGCGGCGAACCTCGAGGCGCTCGACGCGCAGGTCATCGACCCCTCCGTCGCGCTGCAGTTCGTGGTCGCCGAGAAAAAAAGGCTGCTCTCGGAGACGCTCGTCGAATTTATCGTTGTCTACCGCACGCTGTTCGACTCGCTGTTTCCCGCGAAAAAAAACGTAAACGCGTTCATCCTCGCGCTTAACGACGATTTGCGCCTCGTGAAGCGCGCACTTGCTAACTATGACAGATTCAAGCCCGACGCGCTGCTGAAAAAGCGCACGTTTTGCGCGAGCCTCATCAACCTCGTCGACAGCGTCCGCGAGACGCTGCACGGCGACCCGCTCGAACTGCGCGTCGCGCAGGCGCTCAACTGGATGAACAACATGAACCTGGTGGACCGCATCCGCTTCGTCTACGAGCAGCGCGAGTACTACGAGTTTCGGCTGACGCGACTGCAAGCGCTCGCCGCGCACCTCGACGACTAAAAGCGCTAGCTGCGCGGCACGCGCTCCTTCAGCATCACGCGGTACGGCGGCGGGTTGCGGAACGCCTTCAGCAACTGCCCGTCCGCGCCAGTAGGCAGCGAACGGTGTGCAGGCAGCTTCTTGCCTACGCCGTAGTAGTTCGAGTAGTGCACTTTCCCGTTCTTGCAGATTTGCCCGTTCTCGTCCAGCTCCAGCCCCGCGTAGTCGCGCTCGTCTGTTTCAACCTTCACGCCGCTGACCAGTTCTTCGTCGCCGATGTTCAGCGGCTCCTTGCGCAGCAGGTTGCACAGCTGTTGGCGCAACCCGCTGTGCTTGTGCGGCAGACACGCAGAGCAGCAGAAAAAACTTGCGGGAATCGTGCCCAGAGCCACCAGTCCGCAGAGAATTGCGCTCGCGATCGAAGTCAACGGCTCAATCATCTTTTAGCTTCGCACATTATTTTTGTCATTTTTGCGACGAGCCGCGGTTGCGGCGTGCCGCCTTCGCTACGTGGAGACCTATCTAGCCTTATCTATCTATCGATCTGGGCGGCGCGCACGTAGCGGTGAAGCGTGAGAAGAGCTATTTGCTCTTGTTTAATTTGTTATAAGCAGCGATTTCCTTGTTGCGCGCTAGTCTAAACTCAATCGCAGCTTCGCGCGCTTTGTCAAAACCGCCGTACGACTTGCACGTGAAGTGCCGGAAGGTCCGCTTGCCAGCCAACGTCCAGCTGACGACCCACGCTTGGTGCACGCGGTCCCAAACTACGCCCGTCACGCCGCTGCTGTACTTTGCGTACCAACCCTGCGCCGGCGGCGTCAGCGGCCGGTCGCCGATGATCGGACCCTTTTTCGGACGGTCGCCGTAGCAGTCATTGTACATGTTTTTGCGCTTGCCGGCGCCGTAGCGCCCGTAGTCCCCCGAGTAGCCGTACGGTATGTTCGACACCATTGAATTGTACCCCGGTGGCCCGTACGCGTAGTTGTAGAACGCGTCCATCATGTTTTGCGGCGCCATTGAGTAGGGCATCGACATCTGCATCTGTCCGTACCGCATGTCAGCGACGCTCGAGTGCATCACATGTTGGTTGTTCATGGGCATTGAGCTCGAGTAGTAGCTCAGGTCGGGCATCGTGCTGACAGTCTCCGCTGATTTGTAGCTCGGCGAGACGCGCATCAGTTGGCCGCCTTGCCCGTCCTCTGTCGAATACGCCCCGTTCTGCATCTGCAGCATGTCGGACTGCGCTGCGTGCGTGCTCTCCGAGTAAGTGTCCGGGTTCAACACCGCGTTTGCCCCTTCGTAGCAGTGCGTGCTGCCCATGTGGTTCATAAGCATGTCGGGCTGCAGCGCCTGCGGCTCGTAGTAACCCGCCAACGCGCTGTCTGCCTCCTCGTAGACATTGCTTTGACACCTCTGTGCTGCGCCGGGCTTGTAGTAGTTGTGCAGTGTGCTCGCATTGTAGCGCGTCGCGTTCTTGTCGGCCAGCAGCAGATCGTAGTTTCCCTCCTTGGTCAAACAAGAGCCATGCGGCGGCAGCTGTGAGTAAAAATCGAGCGCAGCCTTTGAACTGTTCTCCGGGTACGGTTTTAGTGCGTTTTGCTCCGTTTGGTTCTGAAGCATCACTTTAGTTTGCAACGGCGCTTCTTTTTTATTTGGATCAATAGCGCTCACTAGCAAAGCACACATTTCGTCCTGATTTTTTTTCGAATCGTTTCCATCGCCGCAACCGCCTTCAGGCTCGTTCGCGCGGGTGCCTGCACCGCCGTACGCGGTTTGGCCGGCGTTTGCAAATTTTCCAACGGCGTCTGCTGCG